ATACATAAGCAACTATCCTATCTGTGTTAAATTAGTTGAGCCGCAGATCGATGCGGCATTCGGTGACTGTAGCCTCATAGTCGATATCTGCAGCAGTTGACGGAGTAGGGGCAGAAGCTCTCGTTCCCCTGAGGCAGAGCAAAGCCGACCGAAGGAGAGAGAAGGACAGTCGACATCTCATCCAGGCTGTGACATAACTTCTGGGCTGCTGCTTCTATTCGGAGATCAACTCCGCGAGTCTGGCGTAGAAACCTCTTGCACTTGGGCCCATCCCACCAGAGGTTGTGAACACTAGAGGAGTGAAGCTGCCTTGATCAACATTTTGAATTCTCTCCCCATATGCCCTTCTCTTGTCGTTCTCGTTCCTCCTATGCGCAGCATCGAGAGCTAGGTTACGGTGACAAACGGCCATGGGATCAAAAATCCTGATGTCGAAGAAAGTTCGCTGTCCCCGCGTCCAGAATCCTCGAGCACTGACGTCCACACGGGCTTCGTTAGATGTGTTTGAAGTCCTGTGTTGGAGGATCTCGCCATCCAGTGGAAGGAGGGTCGGTTCTACCATGACGTCCCGGCAGATTTCCTTCAACATATTTGCTGTGAGATCCCTTACCTCGTCATGCCTCATGCATATGAAGCCCCCCTTCTTGCAAACCATGGCGTGATCGCTATCATAGGAATAGCCACACACGCATTGGGAGGGCAAACCATCTACTGGCCAACCGTACCTTAGAGCAATGGCATCTGTAAATTCTTGTTTGTTAAGGCTGAAACCATTTGCCCTTATCGGTAACGTAGTTAACCAGTTCGAGGCGCCCACCTCCTGCGCTATAGCTACTTTTTTTGTCAAGTTTTCTGGAACCTGCAGCAATAGTTGCTGCAACATGTCATTTTGGCAGTGCTGCCGATCTGTTGTAATGGACCTACGGATCTTATTAACTTCGCTGGTGTCCACTTCCCCTGTTGCATTCTGGGCTATTATGTAATCAGTGAGGGCTGCCGTGAGCTTAAGTGAATTTTGATGTTCAGAGTCAGCAATCTCCACTGGATTAGTTAGTCCCATCCCTCCCAGTCTTGGTGGAAGTGCAAGAAGTGTTCTTTCTACTGGGGTTAAGTCGTGGTGTTTCACTAGTTTGGGAATGAACTTGACACTGATTGCTTCTTCCAAAGGGTGGAGGAGGGGTCGGATCTCAGGGATGGTACGCATCAGGTAGTTCTAACGATGCTTGACTCCATGTGTGAATGCTGCAAAGGCCGCATGTGGCTCTGTGTTAGCAATCTCCGATAGAGCATGGATTTCGCTAACCCACTCATTCACCTTTCCCCCTACGTACTGGGTCTTGAAGTCCGTAGTGCCAATTACTGCGCCTAGATGTCTTTGGCCGTCCTGAGTTATTTTGACCTCACTTTCGCCGAAAACCTCCACAGCCCGATCATAATGATCTGGCTTCACGATGAGGAAGGATTTGCTGGCGTTTGGGTGGTACTCTATTTGTGGACCTCGCGATGTTACCAGGTCCCACCACTTTTTGATGTCCTCCACTTTTCCTGCTCCTGTGAGGTCATCAGCATATGCCACTTGTTTGACCCCAGTTGTTTCATACTTTATTTCTTGTTGGAGCACTGATAGGCCTATTGCATACATTGCCATTGCAACGGGGTCTCCCTGTGTTGTTCCCTCGGTCGACTGTAGGATGGTATCACCTCGTAGAGCCTTGTTGTTTACTACGTAGAGGTCTGAAGGATTCCTATATGAATTTTCAACATACATCGCAAAGCTAGGACACTTGATCTTGATGTTGTGCAGTGCCGCCTTGCGGTTAAGTATGTTGAATGCGTTTGAAGCATCCACCAGGAGAACGGCCTCACAATCACGCTGCTCAAATATCAATCTCATGGCGTGAATGGCTGCCTCCCCACCAGCCTGGTGGCCAGCACACACTTGTAGGTTCCCTGCTGCTGCCCTGACATCATCCTTTACCACCTCCATTATACACTTTCCGATGATCCGCCTCAGCACTTCCCCCACCCCTATAGGTCTACATCCTGGTTTCTTTTCCAGTGGAATAAGGCGGCAGGCCGTCAGAGCCTGGAGGTGATGGCAGCAAGAGGATGCAAGCTTTCTTGCAAGGGTGGCAATGGCAGTGCAGAGATCGCTTGCTACAGGGCCAAACTTGTTTGTGCTGAGGATGACTCTCCAACCGTTTGCATCCAGACCTGAAGGGCCGGCTCCGCCTCGAGTCTTCAGTGCCTTTTTCCACACCATCTCTCCTGTTATTTTCGCGAACAGGACAGCGTTTGGTGGGATATAAGCACCCTGGAGCCTGATGCCTTCATCTTCGCTTGCAGGGGGATGTTTCTCTTTCAATAGTTTTAATGTCGCTCTGTTTATTGGCATCACTCCACCGGAGGATTCATGTGTGAGAGATCTTACCGCGAGAGACACTTTTCCCACACGCATTTTGTTTCCAAATTGTCTTGCCACGTCATCGGTGTTTTGCTT